TCAAAAGCAGGATGTCAAGGTTCCAAATAGCATCCAAAATTAAATCCGAGCCCGAGGCAAAGAATTCCTCAAAGTTCCAATTTATTAAGAGAGTCATGTTGGCACATCTGAGAAAACCCGAATCTGAAAGCTTCCCAGTTTCCCACACCCAATGGAAAGTTCAAGATCTTGTCTCCCAAACCCACAAGTCCATCACATGGTCCAATCTTCCACTGCCATGCTGGCAGTTCCACCCATCCATTTCCAGTCAGGTACAGAGGTGCAGAGACAAAGGATGACCTTGGCTTTCTAGAAAGAATTTTGTTATGGCTACATAGCTTCGAATTCCATACAATGCCCCCTCCCATTTTCCCACAATAGAAAATGCATAGTAGAATAATAGAAAGTGTAGCAGGCCAAAGATAATTAAAAAAAGATGGCTGCAGGCCTGACACAGGGTTGCTGAATGACTGAAAAAGCATCTATTACAGTGGTTCTTAACCATTTCTCCACCATGGACCCCCTTTAAATGCCTTTTATGGCCACGGACCATGGCCAGGGATGCCCAACTTAAATTACAGTATTTATTTAAGCCTTCCCTGAACCTCTGTGATGACATTGTGCCCCTGCAGGGACCTGTGGACCACGGGTTAAGAACTAATCTATTACACATACTTAAACTGAAGCTAATAATTGCTATCAGTGATTTTGGCTAGTGCAAGGCTGTGCTCTATGACAGAGGAAAGGCTGGAATATAGGAGAATAGGAGCTGAATTCAATATGATCTGAAAGGAGATTTAGGATTATGGGCACTATTACATAGCAGGTGCTGTCAAGATTAGTTGACATGTTATAGGAGAAAATAATAACCGAATCCCCAAATCCAAGGTGTTTATAATATTGTGCATAGTCTTGCATTGGCCTATAACCAGAGGTGGTATTCAGCCGATTCGGACTGGTTTGCCTGAACCGATAGCGGAAATCGAGGGTGGGCCTGCCTACTCGCTCCGGCTCAATATCATTCTATTTAGACATGTTTTTGTGGCCAGGCGCATGCATGGTAGATGCACATGTGAGCAAAGCACATGCGCAGAAGGCCAGCCGCATGCGCAAAGCGAGTGGGCGCACACGGGGTGAACCGGTGGTAACAAAATGTGAAACTCACCACTGCCTACAACCAATAATGGCAGCAGAATGATAAAATGTGAGTTGCCTTCTAGTTTTAACCTGGATGTTTCAGTACCGCTATCAAGCTTCTTGTTCTGTTCTGCTTATGCATAATTATTTTCTCTCTCTCCAGAAAGCGACAGTGGTAGTAGTGAAGAAGAATCTATTTACATCAATACAGAACAATATAGCAGGTAATTATGCAGACAAGCCGTGCTCTCCTGCGCTGAGAATGATACAGTATGTGTGCAGTCATTGTCAACGTGAATCCCTAGTTGTTATGTCTTCTTGTAAGAGATAAAAAAATAATGCTAATTAATTTAATGAGAACGTATGTTTTTAGAAAGTCTCAAGTTTCAAAATCTGGCATGTTCTATTTAAGGAATCCTAAATGTAGTTTCCATCTAAAACAAAGCAAGTTGTTTCCTTTTCAAGCTCTAATCCCTGTTTCTCAACCTTGGCAATTTTCAGATGTGTGGACTTCAACTCTCAGAATTGCCGAGCCAACATGGAATTCTGGGGAATTCTGGGAGTTAAAGTTGCCAAGGTTGAGAAACACGGATCTAGTTCACAGGTGTCAAACTCGATTGTGCCATGTGATGTATCATGACATTTTTTTTACCTTTGCGGAACCAGGGTGGGTGTGGCCTGCACACGATACATGCAGCCCACGGGCCGCCAGTTTGACAGGCCTGCTATAGTTGAATGATGACATTGGTGAATATTGTTTATAGAAAACTAGGTTATCAGAAATCAAAGAGGTTTTTTTAAAGCCAGTCAAGATTTTGATATATCAGAGCATGCAATGGAACTAAAGGGATTCAGTGATAGAAGTGAGTATAGATAGTCCTTGATTTATGACTAGTCACTCAGCAACTGTTCAAAGTTACAACAGATTCCCCCAAAAGGTATTTATGACCTGGTTCCGAAGTTCCAAAAATGGCTACCTACCCCTGCAGTCATGTGACTGTATTTGGGACACTTGTCAATCAGCCTATCTGTAGAATCGTGCGATCACATGAATGCAATTTACATGCTTTTTGCAAAAAAACTGGCATTTACTTCTGGTTCTCAGCGTATTGTCCCCAACAATATGGGCGTTCATTGTACCAAACTCAGAGGGATGAAAG